AGACAGAACAGCCAAGGTGAAAAATATGCCCAAAGTGCTGCTTCCTGGCGTTGAGGCGGTTTGTTTTTATTTGCAGATTGACAGGAAGTGATGCGTGACACAGATTAGAGGTTGGGTGACTCTGGTCAGGCAGGAAATGAGAATTAATCACCTGAAAAAGATGAAGTTTACAGCAGAAGCTGCTCTCATAACTAGAAGACGTGTCCTGTCTAACATCTCAGCTCACGTTTAGAGAATTTGTGGGATATTTGTAGGAAGTGTGCTTCATCTGAACATGTTTATCGAGCTGTGTTTAGATCTACTATTTTTAATTCACAGGAAAACTAACCTCTAACACAGCGGACACTGAGACACTGTACCCTCCGCCCACCCCCCCAGTGCTTTTGTTGAACCAAGAGACGGCTCAGGGTCAGTAAATCTGCAGAGAGGAGTCATTATTTCCTCTGCCATCATTTCTATGACAACACCCTTTCACACATGGCGTCTGTTGAGGCTTTAAAGGCAACACTGTGATCTTACAGTAAGAAAAAGAAAACAGTCGAATCAAATCTCCACTGTTCATCCAGAAATTAATAATAAAGCATTTGCACTCATCAAGGCTAGCTCAGAGCGGGACAAGAATCGTTCCTTGTGTTGTGTGTCACTGAAAGAAACTTTGGTTCGACTCCAATAAATCAGAAAACATGCTGTTTTTATCACTTGCTGCCAAAAGGCAACAAGTGGGCCAATACGTTTTATATGTTTGTGTTTGTCTGTTAGTAAAATATCTCATGAACCAGTTGATGGATTTTCATGTATGCAAGTCTATAATTGTTTAACAGTTAGAATCAGTCCAGTCCAAGATGGCCGCCACGGCCAATTGACTTTGGGAAACACAAAAATGTGTGTAACTCTGTCAATTTTACGGATACTGATCAAATATTTGGTGTGGTAGTAGCTGAGAATCATTCACAACACATACTCTGAGTGTGACTCATTGCAGGGCATCTTTGTCTAAAGTTCTGGCATGAACAGCTGCAATCAAGCCTGCTTGTTAGCAAAATATTTAATTAAACACAGTACAGACTTTGATGAGACCTTTGTAAAGTAATCGTTGGGTGATATTGTGTGAGATTGTGTGAGATTGTGTGAGATTGTGTGATATTGTGTGATATTGTGTGAGATTGTGTGAGACTGTGTGAGATTGTGTGAGATTGTGTGAGACTGTGTGAGACTGTGTGAGATTGTGTGAGACTGTGTGAGACTGTGTGAGACTGTGTGAGACTGTGTGAGATTGTGTGAGACTGTGTGCCATCTGCCATGGCAGGTGATACTCCTTCAATGAATGTCAGGCCTTTAATGTTTAAATGAAACAAGCAGCGAGTTTAACTTTGGTTTGAACTACTTCCACACCTTAAACCCCTGCAGTGTCCCAGTTAGGTTCAGGAAACGTTTATTTTATGAAAATCAAAACTGGAATTTAACTTTTTAATTAGAACTAAACTTATATCTAGTCCTTCTATGCACATAAACACGTAAAGTCCCTTTTAAACCAGATTCTCTCCATTCTCTCTTTCGCTCTCGATGAAGCCGGTCGCTCTTACCCTCCCTTCCTCCCTCCTGCTTTTATTGCTCTCTTGTCCTGTCCACCTCAGAGCCTCTCTTTACACATATTCTGAATCAAAATGTATTATTATCAGCTGATCTCAACGCAATTGATCGTTTTTTTTCCCACCAGACGGCAGGTTGCTGGAGAGCCCTCATGCCCTGAACGCACCCACGCAGCTGGGTATGTCATGGATCTGTGGAGTGATTGGAAGATGGTATGCCTATCAGTGCTGTCCGTGGAGGACGTAGAAGATGTGTACATTATTGGATTTATGACAACAGGGTTTCTGCTTTTTGGAATCGGCGAATACCTTGGATATCAACAAATTAGGAAGACGTCGGCAGCAGTTTCAGTTTCAGCCATGGTAAAGCTGCCAGCCTTATGTGAAGGATTAATTCGTGACTCGAGCTCTCACACTCAAATGCTTAACGAGCTCAACCGCAAGCTGGATGCGATTTCTGAGAATCGTAGGTCACTTGCAGCTCCTGGAACTCGCCGGCATGAAAGATTCGAACTTGGAGAAAGCTAAACAAGCACGGACCGGGCAGAATGTCCATAAATCTGGCTGTTTGGATTCACCATTGAGTGTACCAGCAGAACTGAAGCAGACAGAAATCAGAGTCATCCTGCCCAAACAATTGTTTATCTGAATGTGGCCTCCCTGCTGGCCTTGGACAGACAAACTTATCTCAAATTGCTCCTGGAGGATACGTAAAGAAGCTTCTGCCTGCCCCCCTCCTGAGGACATCTGTGGCCTTATCAGAACCATGATGCTGATAGACACTGTACCATCTTATCAGAACCATGACGCTGATAGAC